CAGAGCAAGGGCATCACTGTCTCGCCGAGGGATAATGCCAAGCATTTCGCGGTCTCGAGGAACACTTTAGCAACTGGCTCTCCGGGCAGGACGACGAAGACGAGGATCAGGAGGATCAGGAACGTTAGCAACAGGAGTAGTAGCAGTAGGAGGATCATGAATTGGGTAACGTTACCTTCGCATGTGGTGCATCGATGCGGCCATCGCAAGGACGAGGATGAGTAGGATGAGCAGCAGCAGCAGCAGCAGCAGCAGCAGCAGCTCGCTGGGACAGAGAGGGAGGGTCGAAATTGATTCCTCCTCTTCATCCTATGGTGTTTGCTCCTCCGCTTCCTTCTCTTCCTGCTCTTATGCCGTCTGTTCCTCTTCCTGCTTGCCCTTATCCGCATCATCCTAGTTGTATGCGTACTTGTTGTATCGGCACATATTCCGCATGATCGTTTCTCCGGATTATCCTCTAAAGTATCCCCCTTTCTCTGTTCCCATGTCTGCTATTCCTTATGATTATGCTCATTTCTGCATCGCTGTCCCCACCCAGCCCACACACACCACCCAACCCACCCCCGCCTAACCCCCGCACCCCTGGAGCAATCACCTGGCGTTGCAGCTGGGGGGTCTGGATAAAAGCAGACGCATGCCGAAGCACGCGAGACTGCAAATGCAGGTGGCAATGTCGCTGACGGGGAGGCCATGCAGGTGCCGCAGCGGACGAAGCCACAGGACATAGACTACAGGAGGAGTGACAAGCGCACGAGTCCCGTTCCATCGCAGCCATCTTAAGGGTGTGACGCGAAAGCCACCGATGCAGCACGAACGCAGGCGCCATTGAGAGCAGACAGACGGCCATCAGCCCAGTTGCGGGGGCGAAGCGGCTCGATTGCGAGGAGCCCACGGCAGAAGACAGATGTCAGAGGGGGGAAACAGAACAGGAGCGCAGCCCACTCACAGACGCGACGCGGCACCAGTGCGTCAGTCGCCGCCAGGGGCCCCGAAACACAGTTCAAGCGGCCAGGAGCCCAGAATCGGCCCCAAACTTGGACACCGTTCGGTCGAAGTCCAGAATCTGATTCGACCGCGAGACCCGCACTTCGCCTCGAAACCAGGAGTTCGCCTCGACAGCCAGAATCCCGCAGAAACGCGAAGCCCATAATTCCGATGGGTCAAATCGGAAATTGGTGTTCTTGTTGTTTCTTTTCCTTGCCGCTCGCCCTCTGTGATCCCTGGAGGTTTTTCTGCGTTTTCGCTCTCTGGGTGTCCTCGACGGGCTCCTGGCTCGCCAGATTTTTTTTTTTAAGGACGAACGAAAGGCTCTAGTGCAAGGGTCGGGATTTCCGGGGATCCCACTGCCGCGTGCCGAGTAGAGTAGCGTAGTTGTTTCGTTTCGCTCCCCGCGCGTTGCCGCGTGGCGCGTCGAGCGGAGCAGTTTCTTTTCCCCCCGTGGGGTTGCCGCTCCGCGCGCCCATCGGCCCGCGCAGGCCTGCCCTAGAATTGAGAACGCTGAGCGTTTCAGTGCGGCCGATCCGCGCGGGAGATGTCAAAATCACGACATCTGGTGGATCATTTCGTCATTTTTTCTCCGAGGCGTTGCCACGCGGCGAGTAAGGTGGAGTGCTATCTGTTCGCTCGCAGGCGTTGGCACGTGGCGAGCAGCAGTGGATTCGTATTTTTGGTCGCCACTCGGCGTTGCCACGTGACGAGTCGAGTGGAGTAGTATTTTTGTGTCGCCCCCGTGCGTTGCTGCGCGACGTGTTGAAGGGAGCTGAGCAGTTTCTTTTCCGCCGTGGCAATTTCGCTCCGCGCGCCCATCGGCCCGCGCAGGCCAACGCCGCCTCCTCCTGTCTGCCTGATTGCGACAAACTTTGGGCCGTCTGCAGGGCCTTCTCGCAGGCCTTCGAGGTTCGGAGCATTGCATCAAACCAGGGACTGCTTCCTTCTCCAGTGTGGGCCTCCGCTGCTGCGGAGGCCCAATTTGCTCCTGGTTTCTTATTGAGCGTCGGCTGCAATTCTTTCTCGCGCGGAGGTGGGGCACGGTGCGAGGCAGGGGGCGCCCCCCCCTGCGCTCGAAGAGCGCACGGGCCCTGCATGGGCAAGCGAAAGTGTTGGCATGGGCTTCTTGCGACTGCCCCCGCTGCTGCGGGGGCTCTGGCAGAGTCCCCCCCCCCACAGGTGTGGCGTTGCCAGTGGGCGCAGGCATGGCTGCAATCGCGCAGGCGGCCGCGTGGCCGGGCGCGCGGAAGCGAAGCCACGGCTAAAACGGCTGCGAATGGAACTGCACGCGCAATGCTCGAGACCGCACCCCTTTCATCATGACGCTTGCTCACGGCCGCCCCTTTCATCATAATTGACGCTCCCCCCCCCCCCCCCCCCCCCCCCCCCCAACCCCCCAGCCCAGCTCAAGGAGAAGACGAGGGAAGAACGCTGCGAGAAAGAGAAAAAAGAGAAAGGAAAGAGGAGAGAGAGGGATAGAGAGAGAGAGAGAAAGCGAGGGAGCATAATAATTTATATATAGATAGAGAGAGAGAGAGAGAGAGAGAGAGAGACATATTAGAGGAAGGCGAATGAGGAGGAGGAGGAGGCAGGAGGCGGAGGAGGAGGAGGAGGAGGGAGGGAGGAGGAGGGGGAGGAAGGAGGACGATAGCGAGGAGGAAGGAGGGAGGACCAGAACGAGGAGGGAGGATGAGGAGGAGGATCAGGATGGGGGGAGGGAGGAGGGAGGAGGAAGTAGGAAGGAGATACTGATGTGGAGGAGGAGGGCGAAGAGGAGGAGGGCGAAGAGGAGGAGAAGGACGACGAGGGGTAGGAGGAGGGAACGATTTCGCACATACGAAAAGCGCGCAACGGCGCTTGCACGCGCGCGCGCGCGACGGCCCACAGCCCTGCACGCCCTCGCTGCTACGAGGCGTCTTGCGAAGCAATCTTCACGGATGCTCCGCTGCTGCGGAGCCAGTAGTTGTGGAGCCACTTCTTGCGCAGCCTGTTGCTGGCGAGCCATCCGCTGCTGTTGAAGCCGCTTCTGCGGGGCCCCCAGCGTCGTTTCGCGCGGCCTTGCTGAGAGGACCGTTGCGCTGCGCCGCCGTGGGCGCCGAAGGCCTCGTGCTGGGCGCCGAAGCCCCGCTGCTGCGGGGCTTCGCCGAAGGCGTCGGACCTCTCTGCTCTTTGGGAGCATCGGACCGCAACTTTCGCTCTACACCAAGTTCGGCGTACTAGCGAAACGTTCCTGGCCCGTCGCGCCGGCCCAAACCCGCGACTGGCGCCTTCGCCGAGCCCACGCGGGGCGACACTGCCAATGCTTCAACCTTCCTGTCGCCCCAGTGCGGGTGCTATCGGATGGGCGACCCGTCGTCGCGATGCAGCACGAAGTCCCACATCGGCAGATGCACTTTCACACGCTGCCCCGCAACATGTGGCAAGCTCCGGCTGACCTGGCGCTTGTGGTCGTAGCTGTGTGGCCGCACTTCCAAAGAGTTGCCGATGAGAGCCCCGCTGCTGCGGGGCCCCTCCACGACCTCCCTTATATCTGCGTCCCTGAGCGTTTCTTGGGAACTCGAAGTTCGCCCCCATTCCGTGGTCGCAAACAGCGACCATGCCAGGCTCCACGTTATCAAACCATTTCGCTGGCGATTCGAAGGGCGCGTAGTGGTTCTCTTGTTCGTTGCGCCACCGCTTCAACGCTTGGTTGTGCTGCCGATACGTCTTGCCGAGCCCCTTTTTAGAACGCAGAAAATACTCGACGTCAAACTTGTCGCGCTCCTGGGGGCTCATCGCCGCCGCTGCTGCGTCGGCGATGACCTGCGACGCACGCGCGGCGTGACATCTCGTCTCGTCTTCCAGAGATGCACACCCAGGAGGTAGCATGATGGCAGCACTCGTGACATTTTCATACGCGGACATGCCGAGACCAGAAGGGAGGGAGAGGGGACGGGCGTTCAGGCGCAAGCGCCGCCGCTGCTGCGGCGGCAGTGCCGTCGCGCAACGTGTCGCGCCCGTCCCGCGACCAACCCCTCCAATCATTATCCCACCAATCGTTATCCCGCCAATCGTTGCGGCTGGCCCACCATCCTGCTGCGCCATCCCATTTGCGTCCGCCTGCGCCGCGCATGGCGAGGCGATCGCGTTGTCGTTGGCGCCCAATTGCGCCGCGGCCTGCGCGTCCGTCCAGCGGGAGCGGAGAGGTTCGAGCAAACTGGCGACGGATGATGCGAGTTGACGGGACGGCAACAAAAGTGAAAGAAAACGGAGCGGGCAGAAGAATAGCGAAGTGGAGGAAGAACGGAGAAACGAACCAGAAGAGGGAACACGACTCAAGATAATGAGGAAGCGCAGGAGCAGGGAGTGAAGAAGTAGGCGGCGAGGCAGGACAGCAAGAAAGAAGATGGCGTGAGACAGTGAACAACAACAACAACAGCAACAACAACAAGAACAACAACAACCACGACAACAAACAACGACAGTGAACAACAAATGCACGAGGACGACATGACCTGGAAAAGGTGAGCCCTTCTGTCACAGAGGGGCTCGTCATGGGGGGCCCTTCTTTCCCAAAAGACCCCTTCTGTCACAGAGGGGCTTAACAGTCACTTTATTGCGATGCTCGGATTATGGGGAGGGACACAAAGACCCCCACACACGCACACACAGACCCACGCACACGCACGCACGCACGCACACACACATACACACACATACACACACACTCACACACACATACACACACGCACTTTTTGCGTCGGCGGCTGGGCAGAGGGCGACTGCTCTGACGGGAAGGCAACACAGGACGCGCTGTATGCAAATTAAGGCCGCGATGTGCGGAAGGAGGAGGAGGAGGAGCCCCGGCGCGACAGGAAGAGAGGAAGCCGGGCCACTCAGAGCTGCCGGCTGCGGCGGGGGGTGGACCGAGGGGGGAGCAGCAACGGAACTGGGGCTGCACTGGGCTGCATTGGGCTGGAGCTGGGGGGTGGCAGCCTAGAGCTGCAGCTGGCGGTGGGGAACAAAACGAAGCAGAGCCCAAACCAGTGGACCGAGCACAGCCCAGGGATGGGCCAGTGCGCCGAGACCTGCGGGCCTGCGGGGCGCGTG